GTCATAACAGTAAACTCCGTTTCAAGTAAAAATATACTTAATAACGGACAATCCTTGAAAAAAATTAAATCAAGGGATCGTTCATATTATGATGCAAGCTTTTGTAAGGAGAACCAATCAGTGTTACATAAATAATTTAAATTGTGTTTTAAGAAAACAGAAAGACGATCTGACATATGGCAGCAGTAGTGACGTTGAGCGTATGGCCAGAGAGGGTTGTGTGTGGATTGATAAGTTTGCGTCATTGTTTGTGAAACAAGTGCTTGAGGAGGCACTGACTGTGAGTTGTTCAATAGGATGGTCCATCAAATGTGTCAGGGGGGGGGAGAGTACCAGAGGAAGGAGAGCAACTGGTGGGCTGTAGGTGGGAGCAAAGGGAGTCGCAAGTCAAGCATTCCCCTCCTTGGACTGTCTTGTGGGAGCCCAGGCTTGTGCTGGACGCCAGAGCTACCCTACAGCCCCTCGCACCGGCCGCACTCCCGATCTTCCTTGGGCTCAAGTCTCTCCTTCTCCCATGACTCATTGGTCAGCTCTGGCCCTCGCATGGATGACTCCCACCTCATCACCGGCGCTGTGTCACATGATGCCTTGCTCTTTCCTACTTCCAAAACCAACCACAGCGATGTAAGTGACATTTACAACGTGCCGCTAGATGGAGATATCTATGCAGTGCCAGTAGATGTAGTGAAGCCGAAGGAAGGGCAGATACTACACCCAAAGGCCATTATGCACCAGCCCAAGAAGAGACATCACCGGAGACATGGTAAGAACAGTGCCAGTGCCAGTGTGCTGAATGATGCCAGTTCCAAGAGAGTGAGTAGTTCCGATCACGTTAGCAGTAGCCGGCAGCTCAAGGAGAGTAGTGTGACGAGGAGCAGACAGCACTCAGGTCAATCTGTCGCATCAGTCAGTGGTGGTGAATTGTTAAGGGTCAGCAAGCGTCACAGTGTCCCCAGTAACATTGGTTGTGCCCTCAGCATGACTCCAAAGCATGGCCCCAGCAAAGAAAATCATGAACCCATTCACATGACGTTAGAGGAAGTTAGAAAGTCCTTCCACGAGTCTGATGACACAATAAACTGTAACAAGACTCATAGAGTTCAACAAGAGAGAAAAGTAGCTCATGAACAATCTAAAATATGCAGAATAATTCCATTTACTTCAATGAAGTCATGCAAAAGAAAAGACAGCTCTGAAGGGCGTCTTGAGGACAACAGAAAGAAAGGCAAAAGTATATCTAGTAATATCCGTAACACCCTTATTACAATATTTGGTCTGAAAAAGGGAACCAAATCTAGTAGTTCAAGATTGAAAAGCGGAAGCTGTGTGGACGCTGCATCTCAGGGATTTTCAGAAATCGCCGGCAATGGGACCACAACCCTGGCTGGCTCCCCCGCCTCAGGACCAAAACCCAACAATACAGCCAACCATACAACCACCGTTAGCAAGAACCACCACAACCAGCAGAACCATCACAGCAACCACCGCCACTCCAATGGCATTAACACTGGATTGCTGTCATGCCTGGGAAACCACAGAGCAGAGGCAGATGACCTACCTGCGACTGTAGCCCCAGCACCTCAGCAGAACAGCGCTCCCCCATCACGATCACCAGCTATTGTCACCAACCGTGCACTGCCTCCTTTGCCCTTGCCCAGTACCGGGGAGGAGGAAGATGCCAACAGTAAGTCGCAGACAGAGTCTGGGAGTGAGCGCAGAGAAGAGGAAGGCTGCGACTTTGCCTCCATCATTGAAAAAGTCAAAGATGTAAGTAAGAGATTTCTGAACAGAAAAGAAATGCATATTTTTTTACCACATTTTACTTGTTTTTGAATGTTATGTTTATAAAGGTATATATTTGTGTGTGAGTGCATGTGTGTAAAGCACATTATTTTTAATGGTTCCCCCCCCATCCCCTGCCAGTGTGGGTGGTATTGGGGTCCAATCAGCGGGGAGGCAGCCGAGAAGGTGCTGGCCAACGAACCCGATGGGTCCTTCATTGTGAGGGATTCGTCTGACCACCACTACATCTTCTCCCTTACCTTCAAGCTCAATGGCTTCATTCGGCACGTCAGGATTGAACATGATCAAGGTAGAGTGTACAATTTGAATATGTTAGATTTCCTTCAAAAGGTTGGAGAAAGAGAGGTTAATAGTATGTGTTTGAATGTGTTAGATTTTGTTTTTGAGCTCATCCTTTCTTTTGTTTATGTTTTGAGAATATCTCTCTTTCTCCTTCGCTCTTTCCTTTTCTTTCTCTTTCTTTTCTCTCTCTCTCTCTCTCTTTCTCTCTCCTCTCTCTTTTCTCTTCTCCTTTTCTCTCTCTTTCTCTTTTCTCTTTCTTCTCTCTCTCTCTCTCTCTCTCTTTCTCTCTCTCTTCTATCTCTCTCTCTCTTTCTCTTCCCCTCTCTCTTTTCTCTTGCTCTCATTCTCTCTTCTCTCTTTCCTTTCTCTTCTTCTCTTTCTCTCTCTCTCTCTCTTCTTCCTCTCTCTCTTTCTCTCTTCTCTCTCTCTCTCTCTTCTCTTCCTTCTCACTCTCCTCTCTCTTCTCTCTCTCCCTTTCTCACTCTCTCTCTTCTCTTTCTTCTTCTCTCTTGCTCATTCTCTTCTCTTTTTCTCTTTTTTTCCTTCTTTCTGTTTTCTCTTTTTTCCTCTTTTCTTTCTTTCCTCTTTCTTTTCTTTCTCTTTCTTTTTTCTCTTTCTTTCACTTTTCTCTTCTCTGTCTTTCCTTTCTTCTTCTTTTGATTTGTTTCTCTCTTTTTTTCTCTTTCTATTTTTTTTTCTTTCTTTCTTTTTTTCCTCTGTATCTTCTTTTGCTTTCTTTCTCTTTCTCTTTCTTTCTTTCTCTTTTGCTTTTTCTCTCTTTTTCCTTTTTTCTTTCTTCCTTCTCTTTTGCTTTCTCTCTCTCCCTCTTTTTGCTTTCTCTCTCTCCTTTTCTTTTTTTCTTCTCTCTCTCTTTTGCTTTCTCTCTCTCTCTTTTGCTTTTCTCTCTTCTTCTTCTTTTCTCTCTCTTTCTTTTGCTTTCTCTCTCTCTTCTCTTTTTCTCTTCCTCTCTCTCTCTCTCTCTCTCTCTCTCTCTCTCTCTCTCTCTCTCTCTCTCTCTTTCCTCTCTCTTCTCTTCTCTCTTCTTTCTCTTTCTTTCTTTCTTCTCTTTCTCTGGCTTCTTCTTTCTTTCTTTCTTTCTCTTCTTTCTTTCCTTTCTCTTTCTCTTTCTCTTCTCTTTCTCTTCTCTTTCTCTCTCTCTCTCTCTCTCTTCTTTCTCTATCTCTTCTTCTTCTCTCTCTCTCTCTCTCCTCTCTCTCTCTCACTCTCTCTCTCTCACTCTCACTCTCACTCTCACTCTCACTCTCTCTCTCTCACTCTCAACTCTCTCTCTCCTCTCTCTCTCTCTCTCTCTCTCTCTCTCTCTCTCTCTCTCTCTCTCTCTCTCTCTCTCTCTCTCTCTCTCTCTCTCTCTCTCTCTCTCTCTCTCTCTCTCTCTCCTCCTCCTCTCTCTCTCTCTCTCTGCTCTCCTCCTCTCTCTCCTCTCTCCTCCTCCTCCTCCTCCTCTCCTCCTCTCCTCTCCTCCTCTCTCTCCTTTTACTCATAAAGTTTTGTTATGAATGTTGGACAAGTGGATTTTTTAGGTTAAATTGTATTTTTTTTATGGCTCTGTCATGAAGCTAATCATTATGAACATATCTGACCTTAATCTTACTTTTTTGGCTGTCAGTAACTCAATGAAATGTGATTTTTTTCTTGTTTTTCTGATAAAAAGAGATAGATAATGAAAGAAAAGCTTTCACCTATATTCAAAGTTTGATGAATTCTTCATCTGATATCACTAGGTATCAGTCATTTTACTGTGTTGAAGATGTGAAAGATTAGTGAATGGTTATTGATGAATACAATTTTCTGTGCAGGAAATTTCAGTTTTGGTGGGTTTACCAAGTTCAAAAGCCAGACCATAGTCGAGTTCATTGAAAATGCTGTGGAACATTCTCGTAGCGGCCGATATTTGTTTTTCCTGCACCGTCGCCCTGTCCTGGGACCCATGAGGGTTCAGCTTCTCCACCCAGTGTCTCGCTTTAAGCACATTCAGAGTCTTCAGCATTTGTGTCGGTAAGGCTATCATTTGGTATCTTATTATATGGGATTTTCTTAAATATCATGTTTTAGAAGTGTGTGCATACAATGCTGAAAAAAAAATTCTGGTGAAAACTCACTGTTATCATCTACCATTACCTTTACCTGATTGCAGATATTGATTTTCTTTATTCTATAAGAGGAATTGGCTTTCAGGATGTATACTTTTAAATATGGAATGAGAAATAAATACACTATGACTTATTTAACCATAAGATACAGTCAACTTAAAAAGATTCTTATTTCCACAGATTTGTTATTGTGAAGCATGTCCGCCGTGACCTGATTGGTGAGCTGCCACTACCTCAGCGACTGAAAGACTATTTGTGCTCCCCGCATTACTATTCCGAAATGGTTGAGCAATGCATGGCAGCCGCTGCGGCCGCTGCAGCTTCTGATAATGAAGACAGTGCTTCTTCAGGAGCCACAGTCGAAGGGCTTAGTGTTCCTAGTCAGGTGCTTCACCCCTCGCTAGGAGACCTACAAGACAACCTTCCTGCACCACCCACCCTTTTGCCAGGCTTCCCCGGTGTACCTCAGCCTGTGATGGACCGTGCCTCCCAGACCTCCCAGGCGGCTTCCCCCAACCCACCACCGTCACAGGAGGACGACCTGAACCTCCAAGCTCACCAGGATTTAGATAATTCCAATCTACAAGAGACCAGCCCAAACCACAACACATCCACTGTACTTCAACCCCTAATAGACCCGGACCATCATGTCAGCAGTATAACACAGCCTTTGCCAGAGCCCAACCACCTCACCATGAACCCCCCAGCCAGTGTAAACGACGACTCCACCATCAGTCACTCCCCTACATGTTGCTCACCCGCACACATGGAGCGTGATAATTACCGTGTGTGCCCACAGGTGAC